AGAATCATCATCTGGAGATATCCACATGGTCAGAGAATCATCATCTGGAGATATCCACATGGTCAGAGAATCATCATCTAGAGATATCCACATGGTCAGAGAATCATCATCTAGAGATATCCACATGGTCAGAGAATCATCTTCTAGAGATATCCACATGGTCAGAGAATCACCATCTAGAGATATCCACATGGTCAGAGAATCATCTTCTAGAGATATCCACATGGTCAGAGAATCATCATCTGGAGATATCCACATGGTCAGAGAATCACCATCTAGAGATATCCACATGGTCAGAGAATCATCTTCTAGAGATATCCACATGGTCAGAGAATCATCTTCTAGAGATATCCACATGGTCAGAGAATCACCATCTGGAGATATCCACATGGTCAGAGAATCACCATCTAGAGATATCCACATGGTCAGAGAATCATCTTCTAGAGATATCCACATGGTCAGAGAATCATCATCTAGAGATATCCACATGGTCAGAGAATCACCATCTAGAGATATCCACATGGTCAGAGAATCATCATCTGGAGATATCCACATGGTCAGAGAATCACCTTCTAGAGATATCCACATGGTCAGAGAATCATCTTCTAGAGATATCCACATGGTCAGAGAATCATCTTCTAGAGATATCCACATGGTCAGAGAATCATCTTCTAGAGATATCCACATGGTCAGAGAATCATCATCTGGAGATATCCACATGGTCAGAGAATCATCATCTGGAGATATCCACATGGTCAGAGAATCACCTTCTAGAGATATCCACATGGTCAGAGAATCATCATCTAGAGATATCCACATGGTCAGAGAATCACCATCTAGAGATATCCACATGGTCAGAGAATCATCTTCTAGAGATATCCACATGGTCAGAGAATCATCATCTAGAGATATCCACATGGTCAGAGAATCATCATCTAGAGATATCCACATGGTCAGAGAATCATCATCTAGAGATATCCACATGGTCAGAGAATCATCTTCTAGAGATATCCACATGGTCAGAGAATCATCATCTAGAGATATCCACATGGTCAGAGAATCATCTTCTAGAGATATCCACATGGTCAGAGAATCATCATCTAGAGATATCCACATGGTCAGAGAATCATCATCTAGAGATATCCACATGGTCAGAGAATCATCATCTAGAGATATCCACATGGTCAGAGAATCATCATCTAGAGATATCCACATGGTCAGAGAATCATCATCTAGAGATATCCACATGGTCAGAGAATCACCATCTAGAGATATCCACATGGTCAGAGAATCATCTTCTAGAGATATCCACATGGTCAGAGAATCATCTTCTAGAGATATCCACATGGTCAGAGAATCATCTTCTAGAGATATCCACATGGTCAGAGAATCATCATCTAGAGATATCCACATGGTCAGAGAATCACCATCTGGAGGGTATCCACATGGTCAGAGAATCACCATCTAGAGATATCCACATGGTCAGAGAATCATCTTCTAGAGATATCCACATGGTCAGAGAATCATCATCTAGAGATATCCACATGGTCAGAGAATCACCATCTAGAGATATCCACATGGTCAGAGAATCACCATCTAGAGATATCCACATGGTCAGAGAATCACCATCTAGAGATATCCACATGGTCAGAGAATCATCATCTAGAGATATCGACATGGTCAGAGAATCATCATCTAGAGATATCCACATGGTCAGAGAATCATCTTCTAGAGATATCCACATGGTCAGAGAATCATCTTCTAGAGATATCCACATGGTCAGAGAATCATCATCTAGAGATATCCACATGGTCAGAGAATCATCTTCTAGAGATATCCACATGGTCAGAGAATCACCATCTAGAGATATCCACATGGTCAGAGAATCACCATCTAGAGATATCCACATGGTCAGAGAATCATCATCTGGAGATATCCACATGGTCAGAGAATCATCTTCTAGAGATATCCACATGGTCAGAGAATCATCATCTAGAGATATCCACATGGTCAGAGAATCATCATCTAGAGATATCCACATGGTCAGAGAATCATCATCTAGAGATATCCACATGGTCAGAGAATCATCATCTAGAGATATCCACATGGTCAGAGAATCATCATCTAGAGATATCCACATGGTCAGAGAATCATCATCTAGAGATATCCACATGGTCAGAGAATCACCATCTAGAGATATCCACATGGTCAGAGAATCATCATCTAGAGATATCCACATGGTCAGAGAATCATCATCTAGAGATATCCACATGGTCAGAGAATCATCATCTAGAGATATCCACATGGTCAGAGAATCATCATCTAGAGATATCCACATGGTCAGAGAATCATCATCTAGAGATATCCACATGGTCAGAGAATCATCATCTAGAGATATCCACATGGTCAGAGAATCATCATCTAGAGATATCCACATGGTCAGAGAATCATCTTCTAGAGATATCCACATGGTCAGAGAATCATCATCTAGAGATATCCACATGGTCAGAGAATCATCATCTAGAGATATCCACATGGTCAGAGAATCATCATCTAGAGATATCCACATGGTCAGAGAATCATCATCTAGAGATATCCACATGGTCAGAGAATCAACCATCTAGAGATATCCACATGGTCAGAGAATCATCATCTAGAGATATCCACATGGTCAGAGAATCACCATCTAGAGATATCCACATGGTCAGAGAATCATCATCTAGAGATATCCACATGGTCAGAGAATCATCATCTAGAGATATCCACATGGTCAGAGAATCATCATCTAGAGATATCCACATGGTCAGAGAATCATCATCTAGAGATATCCACATGGTCAGAGAATCATCATCTAGAGATATCCACATGGTCAGAGAATCATCTTCTAGAGATATCCACATGGTCAGAGAATCATCATCTAGAGATATCCACATGGTCAGAGATATCTAAATACAACGGGAAAACAAAGACAGATCATGACAAAATACAACTCATACGGACCGTAACACATGTATTCCAATTTGCAGAATAAAAGTCAATTAAAGACGGTAGTTAATAATTTATCAGCAGATTACAGTGTCATATTGTTTCTGAGGTACGCAATATTAAAAAAGTGTGTTTTTGAAGTCTTAAATAATACAACAATTCAACAAAATAAATTCAGATAAATACATTTAAATGAACATTTATTTAACACTATCGTCCTTGTTTTAAATATGTCTGCAGTGCACTTAAACAAATACAACTTAAAATAATAACTTTGCATAAAAAAATTAACAAAATATTTATATTATAACACAACGTCTCCTTATTTCCGAGATGTGGAAAATGTAAAACTTAATAAGAATATTAAGTTCATATTGTTGGCTTCCTCTGTTAGCTCATTAATTTACTATAATTTATACATAATCTGCATAAAATAGCATTAATCAGCTTCAGTCGACCCTGAATCTGTGTCATGATAGTGTTTCCTTGTTGATCCCACTCTTTAACGGCCCGTCCACACTACAGCTTCGACAGCTTCAAAAACGGTTTCCAACGCTTCTGCCCATTCACTTTGAATGGGGTGACGTCACTTTTCGCCGAACTGCATTGTGGGAAGCAGAGCGGAGCTTTCCTGGTGTTACAGGCTGCAAAAGTTGAGCAATGTTCAACTTTTGCAGCTTCTGAAGCTTTCGGTGGAAGCGTCAGCCAATCAAATCATATGCCAGTACAAGCTCTAGCCAATCAAACCGCTGCTTGTGTGTCAGGGGCGGGAGATTCATGTGATTGGTTGTTGGTCGAGCTTCAGACATGCCCAGCTCTTAGCTTTTTTTGAAGCTGTAATGGGACGGGCCGTTACAGAGCAGAAGTTATTTAAATAAGATTTGCGGTAGCGTGGTGATAAAGCAGAACATGTATTCATTTACGGAAGTCTCAGCGTAGACTCAGTGTCCTTCATCGTTGAGAACATCTGTCAGACTCACCTCAGCTCCCTGTATTAAAGCTGTCCTGTTCTGTTTCCTCAGCTGTTTGATGAGAAGATCAAGGACTGTAAAGAGGATGAATCCCGCAGAGTGAGTACCTGTTAATCTGTCGTTAGCGCTGAAGCTAACAGCAGGAAGCACGTTGAATTATATATGATACTCTTGCAGATTCCTTATTCAAACAACACTTACATCCCAAGATATACACCTGAACATCAGCAGGAGAGGACTCTTTAAAGTAGAGACACTACATACTGATATACACCTGAACATCAGCAGGAGAGGACTCTTTAAAGTAGAGACACTACATACTGATATACACCTGAACATCAGCAGGAGAGGACTCTTTAAAGTAGAGACACTACATACTGATATACACCTGAACATCAGCAGGAGAGGACTCTTTAAAGTAGAGACACTACATACTGATATACACCTGAACATCAGCAGGAGAGGACTCTTTAAAGTAGAGACACTACATACTGATATACACCTGAACATCAGCAGGAGAGGACTCTTTAAAGTAGAGACACTACTTACTGATATACACCTGAACATCAGCAGGAGAGGACTCTTTAAAGTAGAGACACTACCTACTGATATACACCTGAACATCAGCAGGAGAGGACTCTTTAAAGTAGAGACACTACTTACTGATATACACCTGAACATCAGCAGGAGAGGACTCTTTAAAGTAGAGACACTACATACTGATATACACCTGAACATCAGCAGGAGAGGACTCTTTAAAGTAGAGACACTACATACTGATAGACACCTGAACATCAGCAGGAGAGGACTCTTTAAAGTAGAGACACTAAATACTGATATACACCTGAACATCAGTAGGAGAGGACTCTTTAAAGTAGAGACAACTACATACTGATATACACGCTGAACATCAGCAGGAGAGAACTCCTTAAAGTAGAGGACACTACATACTGATACACCTGAACATCAGCAGGAGAGGACTCTTAAAGTAGAGACACTACATACTGATAGACACCTGAACATCAGCAGGAGAAGGACTCTTTAAAGAAGAGACACTACATACTTGATATATACCTGAACATCAGCAGGAGAGGACTCTTTAAAGTAGAGACACTACATACTGATATACAACCTGAACATCAGCAGGAGAGGACTCTTTAAAGTAAGAGACACTACATACTGATATACACCTGAACATCAGCAGGAGAGGACTCTTTAAAGTAGAGACACTACATACTGATATACACCTGAACATCAGCAGGAGAGGACTCTTAAAGTAGAGACACTACATACTGATATACACCTGAACATCAGCAGGAGAGGACTCTTTAAAGTAGAGGACACTACATACTGATATACACCTGATCATCAGCAGGAGAGGACTCTTTTAAAGTAGAGACACTACATACTGATATACACCTGAACATCAGCAGGAGAGGACTCTTTAAAGTAGAGACACTACATACTGATATACACCTGAACATCAGCAGAGGAGGACTCTTTAAAGTAGAGACACTACATACTGATATACACCTGAACATCAGCAGGAGAGGACTCTTTAAAGTAGAGACACTACATACTGATATACACCTGAACATCAGCAGGAGAGGACTCTTTAAAGTAGAGACACTACATACTGATATACACCTGAACATCAGCAGAGGAGGACTCTTTAAAGTAGAGACACTACATACTGATATACACCTGAACATCAGCAGGAGAGGACTCTTTAAAGTAGAGACACTACATACTGATATACACCTGAACATCAGCAGGAGAGGACTCTTTAAAGTAGAGACACTACATACTGATATACACCTGAACATCAGCAGGAGAGGACTCTTTAAAGTAGAGACACTACATACTGATATACACCTGAACATCAGCAGGAGAGGACTCTTTAAAGTAGAGACACTACATACTGATATACACCTGAACATCAGCAGGAGAGGACTCTTTAAAGTAGAGACACTACATACTGATATACACCTGAACATCAGCAGAGGAGGACTCTTTAAAGTAGAGACACTACATACTGATATACACCTGAACATCAGCAGGAGAGGACTCTTTAAAGTAGAGATACTACATACTGATATACACCTGAACATGTGTGTATTAGGGCCCCTTTAAACTTAAAATCATAACATTGAGGTGTTTTATATTGTTCAGTTTCACTTTGTCTCAGAGAGTTGCCAGCAGCTGTGATTCACTTCCTCCCGTAGAGACTACACTTAGCCTTTGGTCACTTCAACCTGTAATTACTGTGACTCTTCATTTTGGGAAACTATCTTGTACATTTCCACAGAACAAAAACTGTTGCATCAGTAAGTCAGACGTCACCACTTCGATGTTATCTCGTAATTGTGATTCATCACAGACAGAGATGGCAAAAGTACACGCATCCTTTACTCAAGTAGAAGTACAGATACTCGTGTTTAAAAATACTCTGGTAAAAGTAGAAGTACTGACTAAACTTCTTTCCTCAAGTCAAAGTAAAGAGGCTTTGAAATGTACTTCAGTAAAAAGTACCCATAACTAGCAGCTGCTTTAAAGAGTACCTGACCTCCCTTTATATTAATAGAACAATAATGTCATTGTTAGCTAATGAATGTTTCCATGCTGAACAACGGCAACATGACAACGTTTCCATTGGTCCCTCTTCTTTGGAGAAGACCAGGAAATGATGGATACACGGATCGTGTTCAAATCAATAGGCACGCAATTACTCTAAATCACATGTGTCAAACTCGAGGCCCGGGGGCCAAATCAGGCCCTTGGTGGATTTAATTTCGGCCCGCAGGATAATTTCTAATTCCTATTAGATCTGGCCCGCCGGTATATTGCACGCACACCTTCACTCCATCCTGAGGGTCTCCTCAGCTCAGAGCCTGAGCCCAAACATTGATGACCTTGCACCCAAGAAGAGATGCCAAGTATCTGAGCTAGCATCACAGAGCAGCAACCTGAGTTTAATGGATGTTTCCTTCTGCACTTTCTCTCACGACAACAGGGCATGTTTGGTTTTCTCTCTGTGGGGAAATGTACTCATCAGAAATGACTCTGGAAAAGCTGCAGATAGAGCCATAAGAAATGAATGCAACTGATTATTTAATGTTTAATGTTGTTTTTATAGGCAATAATTTAAGCTTTGTTAGTTCCAGGTTTAATATGTGCAATAAGTTCATTTCAATAAGTTCTGCAATAAACATTGAACCAGTCCGGCCCTCCACTAGCACCCATTTTTTCATTTTGGCCCCCTGTGTATTTGAGTTTGACCCCCCTGCTCTAAATAATAATGATCACACCACCAAACACATTCAAACCAAAGGAACCAGCCTGTTTGGAAAATGTGAGAAGTAGAAAGTACAAGTATTTGAGTTTAACATGTGAGAAGTAGAAAGTACAGGTATTTGAGTTCAACATGTAAGAAGTAGAAAGTACAGGTATTTGAGTTTAACATGTGAGAAGTAGAAAGTACAGGTATTTGAGTTCAACATGTAAGAAGTAGAAAGTACAGGTATTTGAGTTTAACATGTGAGAAGTAGAAAGTACAGGTATTTGAGTTCAACATGTAAGAAGTAGAAAGTACAGGTATTGAGTTCAACATGTAAGAAGTAGAAAGTACAGGTATTTGAGTTCAACATGTGAGAAGTAGAAAGTACAGGTATTTGTGTTCAACATGTAAGAAGTAGAAAGTACAGGTATTTGAGTTTAACATGTGAGAAGTAGAAAGTACAGGTATTTGAGTTCAACATGTAAGAAGTAGAAAGTACAGGTATTTGAGTTCAACATGTGAGAAGTAGAAAGTACAGGTATTTGTGTTCAACATGTGAGAAGTAGAAAGTACAGGTATTTGAGTTCAACATGTAAGAAGTAGAAAGTACAGGTATTTGTGTTCAACGTGTAAGAAGTAGAAAGTACAGGTATTTGAGTTCAACATGTAAGAAGTAGAAAGTACAGGTATTTGAGTTCAACATGTAAGAAGTAGAAAGTACAGGTATTTGAGTTCAAAATGTAAGAAGTAAAAGTAAAAAGTCGTCAGAAAAATAAGTAGTGGAGTAAAGTACTGATACAGAAACATGTACTTAAGTACAGTAACGAAGTATTTGTTCTCCAATACTTCCCACCTCTATCCGTGGCATCAGGGTTTATGCTTTTAGACTTTGTACCTGTTGACAGATTTTAACACCTAATGTCTTCTCTTTTTACAGAAAATTGAAAATCTGAAGGAGACTACTTGTGTAAGTCAGCCATTAGCACATTATCCTTCCTGTGTCAGTTCCTCGTAATTTAACCTCTTTTCTTAACATACTCTCCTTCCAGAGCATGGTAGAGTCCATCAAGCACTGTATCGTTCTGCTGCAAATCGCCAAGGTAAACACATGTTCAACGTCCTCCTGTACTTTGGTCTGCTGCCTCTTCACCATCAGCATTTGTGAGACCACCGCAGTGTGTGTTTCCCTCACATCTGTGTGTGTGTGTGGTTCCCTGCTTCGGTGGTAGATGAGGGTGTAGCCAGTATTCGTTTCATCACATGTTCCTCTCTCCGCCCTGTGAAGAGTGGAGAAACCACTGCCTCTTCATGTGGTTGTGAGGTGGCAATTTAAGCTTTTTTTTTAGCTTTAGTTTTAATCACAGATTTGCCTGCGAGAGAAATCCTGTAATTAACCCAGAGTGTTTTCCCCATGTGATGAAAGGATTACTGCATGTTGGTGGGTACTGTGAGGCTCCGTGGTTTATGAAATGACTCCTTCTTACACCAGTAGTCTAACATTGTCTTCTCAAAATTTTAAGGACCAAAGTAACGAACAGCAACACGCAAACGGACTTATAGTAAGTTTGACATCCTCCGTCCATGGCTAAAAGAAAAAAATCCAATCAAACAAAACTGCTAACTTTCTTTTTCCTGATTCATTTACTCTTTACTGTAGAAATCAGATTAGTCTTTAGTGCATGCCGTCTGATTTGGAGCTCTTTCTCAAACTCTCTCCCTCAGATTTAAACCCTTCTAGCAGTGGTTGGGAACTTTTCTTTTCTCCATACAAAATGTATTTGATGTGTGCAAACTCAATGCACTTTGTTGTACGGATGTGTGCATTGACTTGGTTGTTTGCATGTGTGTTTGAGAGGCTGTTCCCTTCACCCTCTAATTAGAGTCAAGCTGCTCACCATTGATTTATGTTGAACACACTGCCTGCTTATTGAACCGCCGAGCACTAATAGCTGCAGAGACCACTTTACTTCATGTCAGGGGGCCACACATGTTTTACTTGACATCACATGACCTAAAGTACTGGGATATATGTCCAAGGAATTTTAGATCGTGTTTTTGGATCGAATTCTGAATATTATAGGCGCAATCTGTTTTATGTGTTTCCATTCCTTTTAGTATGTTGTGAGGATTAATGTGAAGAAGAGTGGTGCAGGAATGAGTCCTCAAACCCTGAAATGAGTCAGGTGACTTGAAGTCATGTGATCGTGCTGTAGTTCCTTTATAGCCCAACATTAGCCACCTTTAGCTTAGCGGTGGAGACGTGAAGTCATGTGACCGTGCTGTAGTTCCTTTATAGCCCAACATTAGCCTCCTTTAGCTTAGCGGTGGTGACCTGAAGTCATGTGACCGTGCTGTAGTTCCTTTATAGCCCAACATTAGCCGCCTTTAGCTTAGCGGTGGTGACGTGAAGTCATGTGACCGTGCTGTAGTTCCTTTATAGCCAACATTAGCCTCCTTTAGCTTAGGGCGGTGGTGACATGAAGTCATGTGACCGTGCTGTAGTTCCTTTATAGCCCAACATTAGCCTCCTTTAGCTTAGCGGTGGTGACCTGAAGTCATGTGACCGTGCTGTAGTTCCTTTATAGCCCAACATTAGCCCACCTTTAACTTAGCGGTGGTGACGTGAAGTCATGTGACCGTGCTGTAGTTCCTTTATAGCCCAACATTAGCCACCTTTAGCTTAGCGGTGGTGACATGAAGTCATGTGGCCGTGCTGTAGTTCCTTTATAGCCCAACATTAGCCTCCTTTAGCTTAGCGGTGGTGACCTGAAGTCATGTGACCATGCTGTAGTTCCTTTATAGCCCAACATTAGCCTCCTTTAGCTTAGCGGTGGAGACGTGAAGTCATGTGACCGTGCTGTAGTTACTTTATAGCCCAACATTAGCCTCCTTTAGCTTAGCGGTGGTGACCTGAAGTCATGTGACGTGCTTGTGTGTAGTTCCTTT